AAAGGACAGTCATGGATTGGACAAAAAATGAGCACCCGATTCAAGGGCAGCCCCTTTATTGGCTGGCTGGTGACCTATAAAGAGGCCAGGACAAGAAAGCTCCACCCAGTCGTTTCAAGTAATTGACAAGAATAGGCTCTGTCACTCTGGGCTTCAAACAGGCAAACAGCAAGGGAGGCTGCAAGTTGGTGGCAGAAGAAAAATACACAGGAAGCTGGAGCCGACACTGGCTCCACGGCGTGAAGATTGGTGACCTGCTATGAAGAGAACTGACAGCAAAAAGCCCGCTCGATTCCTGACCTCTGAGCACTCAAACGCAGAGCGGGGAGCTGGCCTCCTGGCTGTTAATCAGGGCGGCTGCGCAGGGAGTGGGTGATTCCGTCCAGCCATGAAGAACCAGTGCTGCTGGCCTTGGCCCACCTCGGCGAGGAAAGGCACGGTTTTGGAGACCGCAGTCAGGAGTACTGCCACGTGGGTAAAGACAGCCAAGTGTGCAAATGCCGGCTGGGAAGGGCCCAGGGGTAACCAGGAGGTACTCCTGGATTCTAGGACCTCACAGTTTCCTGTCTCCCCAAGGGAGACTGCAATCATGACACAGTATGGCTAAAGTCACACCTAGAGGTTTGACACGGCTGCCCCGGAAATCACGTGACCCGCAAAACCACAGTATAAACCCTAACTCTTGGAATAACAATGCCATGGTGCTCTTGATTCAAGGGCTTGGTGGCTCTGAGGGGGGGGGGGGATGGGTTGGAGGGGAAGAGGGGGTGGTTGAGGTTATGTACTTGTCTTGACAATAATATTCTGCTAACCAAGACTTGGGGCAAAGGGAACAAGGTCAACTTCACTTGCCTGGATTTTACATCCCAGCCAAAGGGTTAGGGAGGCTGCGGCTGCAGCAGAACTACATCACATGCCGCCTGACTTTCACCCCAGGCTTCAAGACCTACGTGTCAGTGACCAACGTCTCAAGGCGACTGTGAGAGCCAGTTTGGTGCAACCACCAGCAGGAGATACAGGCGGCTAAGACCTCCTCTACGACAACCCAGGGAATCATTGCACGTCAGACCACCGAGCAAGACTTGGGTTCGGTCCACCACATTCACGGAGCCCCCGCTTTGCACTACACACTGTCCTCCGCGCACTTACATGTACGGTCACATTTGTTCTCCCCAAAACAAACAAGTCTCTTGACACGTATTAAACTTCTAAAATAAAGCTGCATATTAAGCCAGAATGGAGTGAACCTTGCAGGCAATTTGAAATTCAGAATTTACCATTTTCTCTTCTCCTTATTCCCTCTTAACTCTCTGTGCCCCCTGACAGTTCTTATAAGAGTTGAATCATTTGAAGGACTGAGTGTCTGTGTTTAGATATCTCTTGTCTTCCCTGACCAGCCTAGTGTTCTCAAACTCTAAATGGGTGTGAGGATTGCTGCACTGGGTCATACAACACACACCTTACGTGTGGTACTGAATTCACATCTCAAGAGTTTTCGGGAGTCTCTGACTGTGATTTTTCACCCGAAGCGCTCGCTTTGGAATCTGAGTGCCATGAAAGGGGAGAGCCTAGGGTACCGTGACAGCTCTGGAATCACACCGTGGGTCTGTTCATTCAACAAACATTTACCAGTGCCTGGGATCAGGGCTGGGGGTACAAGGGCAGATCATGGTGATGTAGGAAATCAAAAGCCCTCTGTGAACCCAGGCTGGGCTGGCTTTGTCCCATACAGGCCCTGGAGGAATGATTACAATGAAGTACCTAGTCCTTGGTCACCCCGTCAATGAAGAACAGGGTGAAATTTGAACCCAAACCCACTGCCCCCGAAGGCAGGCCCTCGGATGTGCACACGACTAGCTACAGCACTCAAGGAAAAAGTGGGAAAGCACGAGAGGAGTTCAGGCATGGAGGATTTAGTTCCTGTTCTGCGGGTGGGGCATTTGAGCTGAGCCTTGAAGAACATGCAAAATTAGTCCTGTCCCCTGGGGAAAACATGTGCAGGAGCATCAGACCCTGGGTTTTCTCTGCCTGGCCTTTGTCCTCCTTTCTTTTCTGGACCTCAGCACCCTGGTCCTCCCTCGGGATCTGCCTCCCTCCCCTTCTCAGTCTGTATGGTTTGTGGGGGGGGGGGTAGACCCCCCAGGCCCTGACTCCAGGGTGGCTATGGGACCCAGGCCATCACATTCTATTGACCACAGCGACGGGTTTCAGAGTGGGCACATGGCCCAATCTGAGCCAAGGGTCTGAGTCCAGGATTCTTTGGACGTGCCAGGAAGAGAGACATCGCTCCACCCAGAGATACCCAGAGGACAGGATGTGCCCCTGGGGCTGCTAGCAGCCAACGGCCACGATGTGCAGAGAGAGCCTGTCTTCAAATGAGACCATGAGACAAAACAGGGAGGTAGAGTGAGACCCAAGGGCTGATGGCATAGTTTGAGGCTCCCAGACCCCTGCCTAAAGCTTGCCCATTGCTGGGCTCCTGTGTAAAACGAGCCAATAAGTGTGTTCCTCTGCCCAGGCAAGGGTGCACTGGGCTTCTATCCCTGCATCAACAGAGTGAGCAGAGTCGAGGGCTAGAAATAAGGGCCTGAGATAGCCACTGAGACCGTGCTGGACCTTGACATTACTATTCAGCTGGGGATGCAGAAATCAAAATTACTTTTCCACCTGTACCGAGCCCAATACAGATTAGCTGATCAGAACTCAAGATAATAGAACCTCAAGAGCTACAGCGAATCTACTGTGGTTCAAATTCTCACTCTGACAGGGAAACTGGGGCTCAGGAGAGGCAGGATATGGCCCAAAGTGACACAGAGACCCGGTAGCCCCACAGAGAGTGGGGAGCTGAAGGCACAGTCATGGGCTGGGTCAGATGGAGCGGGAGACAAGGAAGACCCAGATACTGGGCTGGGGGAAGGAAGCAGCAGGGAAGGGCCCCTGCAAGAGGCGGACCGGGTGGGCCTTGAAGAGAGCCTGCTTCAAAGTCACATGGAACTGGATTCAGCTCCTTGCTCTGCCATTTTGAAAGCCACTTTCTGTCCACTGTTTATAAGATGGGGTCCAGTTCTTTATTTAACTATGAGTCCTTAAGCCCTGTGGTTACCGTGCCCAAAATGGGACTCTAAAAAGACATATAAGGTCCCAGACTTCAGAAAGTTTACATTTCTGATGAGGGATATAAGAAAATATACAATTTGTGGGGCGCCTGGGTGGCTCAGTCGGTTGAGCATCTGACTTCGGCTCAGGTCATGATCTCACAGTTCGTGGGATCGAGCCCCACATCAGGCTCTGTGCTGACAGCCAGCTCAGAGCCTGGAGGCTGTTTCAGATTCTGTGCCTCCCTCTCTCTGACCCTCCCCTGCTCATGCTGTCTCTCTCTCTCTCAAAACTAAATAAAACATTAAAAATATATATATATAATTTGTTTATCATCTGCCTTCTCATGTCATACTGTAGGCTTCCTAGGAGCAGGGATATTTGTTTTGTCACCGTCTACCTCAGTACCTGGCACATAGTAAGCCTTCAATAAATATGTCTTGAACACATACAAGTAAGCAAAGTAATAAAAGGGTAAGTACTATGGAATAAATAGAACACAAGATGCAATAGAGAGTGACATGGGAAGAGAAGTCTCCTAGGAGAAGAGGGTATTTGAGCTGAGACCTGAATGACAAGGAAGCAGCCATAATGAATAACTGAGGAACTGTAGGCTAAGCAGCGGCAACAGCACATGCAAAGGCCCTGAGGCAGAAATGACGCATGGAAAGAAAGCTCTGTAGCTGGAGTGGGAGTGAGAGGGAACTGCGATTGGAAAGGCAGGCAGGGACTAGATTGCTGCAGGTCATGACCAGGAGTTTGAACTTGGTTCTCACTAAGCACAATGGCCAGCCACTGGAGCGTGTTAGGCAGGGCAGTGACATCTGACTTATGTGTTCAAGAGATCACTCTGCCTACTGGGTGGTAGATGGATCTTGGCAGGAAAGACAATAACGTATGTCACACACAGCATCTGGCACACAACAGGTGTTCCATGAACAAGAGGCACACATCACTACCCCTAATGCCACATCCACAAAAGCTCGCCAGTGTCCATTCCAGTCCAAGAAATGTGCTCTTTATCCTCTCGGGTTCGGGCTCTGTCTAGCCACCCTCTATGTCCTGTGATGGTCGTAGTAAAGCCAACAGACAAGCTTTGGGGGGAAAATCCCCTCCTCTTGTCGGTTACAGTAACAATCCAGGAGCCACGGCGGGGAGGGGCCGGATGGGGGCGGCGGAGCCGGGGCCTTCTGTTAAATGTTGAGTTGCTCCCAACATACTTTTCAAACATTCGTTTGCTTTTGCCCAGTCTCCTCCGTAAGAGACATGCTTTCGGATGTGTTTTGAAAAATATTCCATATGCTAATGGAATGTCACCATCTGCCAAAGAAGGCAGAGCTGTTTTTAAAGGAAAAACTATTACAGAAATGAGGTATTCACAGAGGGGCACTAAAGAGCCCAAACGTCGCTGACCTGAGGCTGACCTGGGCCGCCTCGTGTTACCAACATGAAAAGGGAGTGAGAAAATCTGAGGCCAATTAACTTCTCTCCCCCCCCACCCCCCACCTCTCCCTCGCTCGTTTTTCCCCTCCCCTTCTTGGAGACATGATGAAATTTCCTGAAACAAAAACTCGCAGCCCGATCTATAAAATGCTTTCGCCTTTGGTGGAAAAAGCCCCGATGGTCCCTTTTATCTCCTCATTCCTGAGGCGCAGGCCTGGCCCCCGTCTGTTTGTGCAGATGGGCCGCAGGGAACCCTCCCAAGGGCAAGAGAGGCGAGGGCCGGGCCCGGCCGCTGGCTGTTGCGGCCAAGCCTGGCCATCAGGAGAATGGGGCGCCGCGTGGAAGGAGGGGAAGGCAGAACTCGCTGTCCTGTGGCACGCTGCGTGGACAGGCACGGTTCCCCAGGATGCCGCGACAGCCCGGAGGCCACTGTTTAGAGACGAAGGTTTTCCAAGTCCTACCTTTTCAGCTGCTCCTTCTCCGCCTCCGTCGCTGGCCTGGCCTCCTGTGCCCTTGTCCTAAATGCGACGTTCTTCCTGACCCAGTGTCTGGGCCCTTCTTCGAAAGCCGCCCCCTCCCTCTGCCGAGGCAGCTTCGCTTGACTGTCTCTCGGGCACCTGCGATGTCCAAATCCAGCAGCGTCACCCGTCCACCCAAGCCCTGCTTCCCGGATCTGGGAGGCCAAGTTCCCCTCCCGCCAGCTGGGGCCGGGCGCATACCCACCTTACAGCTTTTGCTTGCGTTCCTCGCGGCCGCGGGGCCTGCTTACAGCACGGACGGCATGGTTCAGCTGTCCCACAGCCCGCTGCACACCCGCACACGGTCGCAGTCTCTTCACAGCACGCACTGCCATCAGGACGCACCCGCGAATTCGCCGGTGCGTGGCTACTGCGGCCACCACGCACGTCGTCTACTTCCCGCGGACTAGAAGCTTCCTGAGAGCAGGGGCGGGGCTCCTATCTCCACAGCTCCACCTAGCGGCGCATAGGAGACACGCCAACCGTGGGCGGCCCTGCTAAGGCCTCCTACTCCCTCAACCTGTGTGATCCCAGCGCTCCTGCCTCAAAGCCCCCGGCCCCAAAGCGCCCTCTCTCACCTCCTCAGTGTTCTGCCTTATTCCAGACCTCAACACCCCTCTCCTGAATCTCGACGCCAGCCTTCTAACTGGTCACCTCCAGCTTTAGACCCATCAGCGCCTCCCCGGACCACAGATGCTCAGCGTGGTCCACAGTGGGGTCCCTGGCACCTATGTTGTCATGTTCCTTGCACCCTACCAAACTTTGTGCTTTGACGAAGGCACTGCTCACATTTATTAATGACCACAGAATGTATGCCAGGGATACGCCGGGGGGAGGGGGGAGGGGGAGGGTGCAGAGGGTCCGCTAATGTAAGGGGAAGGCTCCTCGGAGGAGACTGCTGGTCACAGTGCCCGCCCGTGGAGCCCGGAGAGCGAGCGGCGTGGTAAGAGACGGGCGAGACTGGAATCAAGGCTAAGCCCGGCCGCTGACCAGCAAGGTCGACCTGGGCCTCAGTTTCCTCAGCTGTCAAGTGGTACTAACGCGCGGCACCTAGGGCTGTTGTGAGGATTACATGTGTACAGCCCTTCCCAGCAGGCCTGGCACTCACTGTTTGGTGCTTATGTTTATTCTTGTTGTTGCTAGAGTTGGCGTTGAACCACCCTCTTCCCTGCATGGCCCACCCTCCTCCCCGCCCCACCGCCTACACACGCGCGCGCGCGCACACACACACACACACACACACACACACACACACACACGCTGAGGAGGTGAAGTCCTCGCCTGTCCACTCGGGAGATGCTACAGTCTGCCGAGCATACTGGCATGTTGGGGTCTCGTTCTCTACCCAGAAAACACCCCAGGAGGATATAAGTTGACTGCTTTTAAAGCTGAGTTATTCTAAATTTCAAAACCAACAAAAGTAACTTGGCACAGATACTGTCCATCTGGTCCACCTCCCTCATTGCACCGACTGAGCAGCCCGGGCCCTGGTTACCGACGGGAGCACTCACTGGGGACAGTCAGCAGAATTCCCAGGGCCAGTTCCTGTGTTTCCCCCTCAAGAGGCCCAGACAGGCCTCGGGCTGCCGCAGCACGTTTGATTTTGTCCCATCTCCCACCATCCTGACCCCTCACCCTTATCATACCTTCCTCTGCTCTGGACGTTCTTTACCACCTGCTTAAAAGCCACAGTCAGAACTGGCACTGAAGGTATATTACTACCAGTACAATGCTTTGAGTAAATCTAAATTTAGATTTTAGATGAGGTGCTTTAGGTCATGCCATTTAATTCCTGAAGAGATTTTGAAATACTGTCTCTGCTTCCTAGACGAAGGTTAGGTTCAGGGCAGAGAATGTCCTTGCTCTTGGGGCTGTTGCCAGTTAGGCGGCAGAGCTCCAGTCTCACACTGGGTCTCATGACCCCAAAGTGCATGCTCTTTTCCTCTCTGCCACGCCGTAGAGCAGAGACCCCCATGGGATATCTCTGGGTGTGATATCGAGTTCCAAAAGCTGCAGTGTTTTAAGAGCATTCCTTCTCGGCCCCCCAGAGCAGCAGGGCATTTTTGAGGGTAAGACACAGCCCACGAGAAAGGGCCACTGGATTCAAAGATGGTGGTAGAGGGGTGGAGGGAGAGCTTGCCAGAACACCAGCTTTAAGCTGCTCCTTGGGCATGATCCCACTACAGATGGCGTCTGTGGCTCTGTCACCCCTAGGTCCTCCCAGGTCAGTCCAACAACCTACCTACTCTGGAAAATACGATGAAGCAATTTCTAGAACAGGATGAGTAAAAAGCCAGAAAATTGAAGAGCAATCAATAATACGACTCCATTTACAGGATTCTGCTTTCCAGTTTACCCTACATGCACAAAGAAAAAGTTACTTATGACCTGCGCTATAATTCTTTCACATGGCTACACATGACCAATAAATACTCGTCCACACTGGATTAGGATTTCAGGGCATTTGGTGTGTGGGGTCCAACACCACATCCTCGGGCCCGTTAATGCCTGAAGACAGTCATGTGCGCAGTCATCCCACACGGAAGTCTGCACGTCTGTGAGGTCTTAGACCCAGCGTCAAGCAAACCAACTGGAGCTTGGGGGTCTTGGAGCTCCCAGAATTTTCTCCAGTTGGAAGACCAAGTCGATCCTGGGTCTAAAGCCGGCCTTGCTGTAATGTGAACTCAGTCCCAGCACAAAAGCAGGCAGCTGGTCCAAACACTCTCAACGTGACAGAAGAGCGTGGCTGCCAGCTCTTGGCTCCTTCCCCTTCCTCTTCATCTTTTCAAACCCCTACCTTGTTTGGTCATTTTTCCTAAAGGAACATGTATTGACTCATTCTGTGAGCTGGTCACTTTGTCACAGGGCATATCATTTAACTTGTCCCTTTTCTCTGAAATCTATTCTTCAAGAGTTCCGTCGCCAAACTTAGACACAAGGTTTCAAGAGGTCACTACTGGAAATGTTTCAGATCATGGTGGTTCAGGGATCGCAATGCTATCAGTGCTCCAGTGACAGACTTTAAAAAGTTCCCAACTTTTATAAATTGGGCCTCTACATTATATGGATTTTCAGTTTTTCTTGGAAATCTAGACCTGCATTACAGGGTCTACATTCCTGCAAGCCAAGAGATCGTCTAGATCTGGGGCATGTGCCCTCCACAACTTGAGCTAGTGACACCTTCTTTTACATATGGGGAAGCTAAGACCCCAAAGGGGATATTGCCACACAGTTAGTAACGGGATTATTAGACAGATGGCCCAACTTCTTTTCTCCTTATTAACTAGAAAACCAATGGGCTGAAATGTCAAAGCACCACTCATCTCTATACATCCAAGGAGCTCTACAAAACCTCTTAGAATCTCCATAATCAATATGGGATGCATTTGTAGCTGTCAGTTTCTTGCAGTAACACCTCACCTACTAAGGAAGAAACAACTATTGAACACCATGTGACGGTAGGAGATGACCGGAGAGGTTAAGATCACCTGACACCCGAGGTCCTTCTCACTCCGCAGCAATGTTTAGGCTCAACATCTGCTGTTCATAATGATGAGCCCAAATTACCAACAGTTTTTCACATCTAGCACAGGCAGAGATAGAAAGACCTGTGAAAAATGATAGTCACTACAGGGAAAGGCAAGAAATCACTTCAACTCCTCCCTCAAGGAATTTGTTAAATAAATTATGGTAACCAAATACTACACACTCATGCTCAAGAAGGTAAAATTACATGCACTCACATGGAATGATCTCCTAAAGAATATTAGATGAAAGGGCACTTGGCTGGCTCGGTTGGTTAAGCAACCAATCTTGATCTCGTCTCAGGTCATGATCACACGGTTCATGGAATCGAGGCCCACATTGGGCCCTGCGCTGACAGCGCAGAGCCTGCTTGTGATTCTCCTCTCTCTGCCCCTCCCCCTCGCACACGCACACACTCTCTCAAAATAAACTTAAAAAAAAAGTATAAGATGAAAAAGCAAAGTGCAGCACAGTATGTATAGTATGCTACCATTCACGTTAAAAGGGGTGTGGTGATATGCATGCATATATATAATATACACATATATGTATACACATACATACTGTGCTATACACAAAGTATTTTTAGCTGTTGAAGGATATACAAAAAACTGGATAATGACTAGGGGACCGAGGGTCAAGGGTGAACGGGAGAATCGTTTTTTACTCTATGGTTTGTACATAGGCTTTCTTAATCATATGCATATTATATATTTTTAAAACATTTACAAGAAAAACAGACGGAGGCAAAACTATACAGAAATCCTCTCACCCCCAAAGTCCATATTACCAATTTGGTGGACTCGTGTGTGTGTGGGGGGGAGGGGGGATCTAGTTATCCAGACACTTCTGCTACCACTCAGGACTTCTGAGCAGAATCCTGCACACACGAACGGTATCCTTTCTGATTTAGTAACCAGCCGGTGACACGAGCGTCTGCAAAGTGGACGACAATCCCGTGTCCCACACTTACCGGGATCAGACAGCAAGTGTGCCTTTCACACCTCCACCTGCTTCTTCGAGAACCAGAGGATCCACTCACCCACGGAGCTACTTGGGACACCGAAGGGGCCATTTTCACATTTTTACAGTAACTTGTGAAGCAGTGAAGAAAGAACTTATGGGGAAGCCAGCTCCCAGCTCCTCAGGCCAAAGTGAAAGAAAACAGCAAAGCGCCGCAGCCAGACTGGCATTATCTCACATCAGCCTCTCACAAGTCAAAATGCAGTTTGCTTTCAACCTCGTTTCACAGAGCAGATGAGTTGGGTTTTTTTTTTTAATCTACAAACTTTAATGGTACGTCACTGAATTACTAAGGGAACATAACAGGGTTTTTTTTTGAAAAATTTCTTAACAGAGCATCAGAATATTGCAACACTTTATTAAGAGTATTGGCTTTGAATTAGTAGCTGAAGTAACAATTGCATGAAGCCAGATTAGGTGTACTGCATAATACTCATACTTGATTTATTGACATTACTTAGCAATTTATTGGACAAAAGTCAAACTTTTTGTTTTTTATTAAGCACATTCCACAGTACAAAGCTGTCATGAATAATATCTGTACAATTTAACAGTTTCAATAGCTGTTCAGACACAAATTTATTTCAAACAGATAATTGGCAAACATAATTAATTACAAGTTAGAATTAGACTATCCCAGTGCTTTAAAACATTAATATAGCAGTAATTTACAGTTGCTCAATTATGGTTAGCAAAATAAAGTCCAGAGTACGGCTGGGAATTACTACTATAATCCCAGAAAGTCAGAATTCCTTGGGTGCCAGAGTCCCCTGCTATAATTTAGTAGGCACAATTCAAAGGTTGTGTGCATATTCAAAGGCCATGATCTCCCAAGGAACAAGAACTTCTATATTAAACATGCAAAAACAACAACAAAAAGTCCATTCGTTCAGAAAAATTGCCTCCTCCCCTGCCCCTCCCGCGCCCCTGGGCTCTCCTAGCCAGTTTGATATAAAGCTGTAAGGTGGAGAGTGGTAACAGTTAACTCACTTCCACAACCACTGCCAAGCTTACAACATCTACCTCACGAAATAGAGATTTCCTTTTTTTACACTTGGAGACTCAACTTCTCAAAAATAGAAATTAATCTGGTAACATGTGGAAGGGAAGGGTGTATTTTTTAAAAAGACAGAAAAATTAAAAAGGCCAAGCCAAACCAAGAAACAAGTCACATACACACACTTTGATCCCCACACCGTTCTCAATGCAAAGGACAAAACAGAGCCCAGGGCCCCTCCCTTTAGTAGTAGAGTGCGCTTCCACGGGAAGAGGTTAGTTAACAGGAGGTTCTTATTGGTCCTTTAAAACGTTACTGACATTCCTTAATCTTTGGAAACAATGGCAAGGGGCAAAGGGGAACCTAATGTTGAGCAAGGGAAAAGGAGCGCCGACCGAATGCCAAGGTCTCCTCTGTGCACGGCCGGCGTGACAGTGGCGTTCACAGGTTCGGGCTGTGGGGCACTCGGGAGCTGTGAGAACCTGCCAGGGCCACAGCAGCACGTGACACCAGAGATGACGAGAATGGGATTCAGCGGCTGGAGGCTTCACCACCACACAGAAGAGTACCCTTCCACTCAAGAAGGGTCTCTGAACCGACCTGCCATGGTACGTGGACTCCAGCATAGGAGCAGGCCCCGGGAACATCCTGGTAAGGCCAGGGTGCACCAATTCCAGAGCCAGGAGCCCCCGTCAGCGGGGCCTTCTTGTTCCGCCCTTTCCAGGGTTACTAATACACAGAAGAGTGATCTTGGACAGTGAAGTCAAATGAATACCAGAGGAAGTGACCGCTAGTACTCAGAGAAGTACTGAGGAGGGAAAGAACAACAAAAAATCGTTAAGGTACCTCTCTGTTGTGTATGCTGCACAGCGAATAAAACATTTTGTGTTAAACTTTAGAAATTACATTTTAAAACAAGATTCCCATTAAAACCACACACACCACACACATACACACAAAATGACAATGACAAAATAAAAATACCATATGAATACTGCAGGAAGGGTTCTAGGTAATTCCACATCAACCCTGGTATCAGGTTCTTGAGCCCAGCCCGTGGCTAAGTGCGAACACACTCAGGATTAGTGTCTCAGGCACAGGGGCCCTGACTCCAGCAACCTTGAGGTTAAACTGTTATGTACATTCTATCTACATGCGGATACAGTATTTTAAATTAGGAGGCAAGCACACGTGTAAAAGTGTTACTCTACCAAATATCCGGAGATGGTTGGAGGACAGAGAACAGTTAATAAAAGAAAAGAGCTATATTACCTGTTTGGGAGATAATATAACCTGGCTTATAGTTCTTTAAATTAAAACAAATTGGTACAGAAAGGAAGTGTGATCCAAAAAATATTACTAAAACAAACCAGAGAAATTTTCCATTGTCCAACATGTTCCTAATACAGGTCAGAATTCATAATGACTTGGACGGTCGAAAGGAGAATGCTAACTTCTGGAAAGGAAAGCCCTGGACATTCTGGGTAGGTGTTTGGCACCCACAATTTCACCAAAGAAGAATGCGGTTTCTTAATATCAGACCAAAGTGCAAAGCAATATAAATTAGAGGCCAAGTCTTCTCTTGATGGTCGATTTACTTCTGCAAAAGACTGTACGTTCCTTTTATATGAACAATTTACATCCGAAGCATTAGATTTTTTTTTTTTCCACTGCTGGGGGGAGGAAATGGGCTTCTGTTCTACTGGAGGTGGTGAAGCTAAGGTGTCCTTCTCAAAGTAGAGGCCGGAATCGAAGGTGAGAGATGTTGGTACTTGGGAGAGTTAGGCTGCTTTGCATCTACCCAGCGTCTAGAACCAATTCCAGCTTCATAACTCAGCTGCGAAGAACTCCCTTAGGCATTTGGTAGCCATGTAGCCAGTAGTTCAAGACTAGGAAACCCTGGGGAAACAAAATGACAAAACAAAACACAAAGGGAGAATGGGTGGATATTCTGGTTAGACGTGGGAGGAGACATACACCGCAGCCCATCCGCATCCACACACACACTTGCACACACGTAACACGTTACTGATTTTCAAATATAATCCACATCAAAAATAAAAGCTGCAAGATGTTTCGAGTGTACTTACATACCAAGCATCGTATTTATTTAAACCTCACAAAAACCTTAGGAGGGAGAAACTATTATACCCACTTCACAAATAAAAGAACTAAGGCTCAGGCACATTGTTTAGTTCAAAGCATTAGCCCATTAAGTGACAAGGCATTCGAAGAGATGACTGACCCTATCACTTACGTCTTTCATTGTTTCCTGCTAAAAAATTATGCATGTAACAAAATATGCTTAATGTCAGACTTTATAGTTAGCATAATCTTTTATGACATCCAAAGCCTAAGAGGGCTGGTCTCATAGCTGCCTGAGAGAGACGTCATCTATCATTGTGAAACAAAAATATGCAAAAACTGGTAAATAAAGTATTCGTTCTAAATAGAATGCTAATAATCAGAAACTACTTCTTTTTGAAATAAATCATTTATATAAGGACAATATAATGCAGGGGGAAAGACTACTAAAGGTTATTGTTTTGACCATGACCGTGAGTCAGGACACTTTTTAATCACATTCTCTACACTCACCCATGTATATAAATATGTACACACACACACGCATGCACGCACGCACCTAATACTTATCATTACTATGTACAATACAGGCTGACATTTTCTATTCTAAATTTCATCAAAACAAAGTGGATTAAAAATGAGTTCACAATCACTAATGGGTCACAACCTTTCCAAACACAGCACTAAACCACTGGCCTAGAAGATCTAAAAGTTACTTCTATGTCTAGATTCTCTGACAAAAAGTGAGATTTTTTTAAGCTTATACTTTTTTTAAAGGAACCTTTCCTAAAAGGTTGTCAATTTTCGTAAAGATCAAGAATCCTAATAAGCCTTCTCAATGAGTTCAAGAGAGATTTAATTTCATTCACCACAGCTTTTGCAGGAAGGGTCTTTAAGAGTATTATTTTTAAAACATGAACATCCACAGATAAGAAGTAGGCACCCCCCAAAACTGCTGGTGGGAAGGTAAACTGATTTAACCCTCCCGGTAAGTGACATGACTCTAGGCACCAAAGTCTTTAACATCATACCTTTAAACCTGACACGCTAGAATTTTATCCAAAGGTAATAAAGCAAAGATTTAGCTAAAAGAATGATCACGGCAGTGTGTTTTGTAACAGCTAAAAGCTGGGGGAAAACATACCTATAGAACAGGGCCTATCTAAACAACTGAATATTATTTTGCCATTAGGAATGGTGAATTAGACAAATATTGACATTACAGACAAGAAACAAATTACAATGGAGGGGGGAAAAAGCATTTTAAGAACATGTACAGTTCTTAACCATACTTTTAGAAAGCCTGAAAGAATATCTACAAGGGAGTTGACAACGGTGAATCTTGAGTAGTTTATTTTCTTTTGGCTTATCTACTTATTCTAATTTCCTCATAATGATCTTATATTATCTTGTAATAAAAAAGAGAGCTACTGTATATATTAGCTCTTAGGAGTTAGTAATTTTAAAAAAATGACTCAGCAAATAAATCTATCACTAACTTTCCTGACATAGAAATACTCTTACCTTATATTTTAGGGGTGCATATTTTACTGCAAGGTTAAATCATCATTAGGGTAGTGTTTCTTATTATGCATAAATCTTACAGGATCACATGGTAATAATTTTTTTCATGTTACAATAAATGAAAAGAATTTGGAAAAGAGCAGTAAAATCTATAGAGCTGACTGCCAAGGTTGTCAAAAGTAATACACTTTGAAGAGACAAACACATTTGAGGTTTCGTTGCTTGTGCTGCTTAAAAAGCAGATATGATTTTTCCATTGATTTATAATTGTGGATCATAACAAGGGCAGTTGTTCATACATTCCCAAAAAGGGGTGGGAGGAGGGCCTGGAAGAAGTAACACCACAGTTTCCTTTCCACCACAGCCAGTGAGAGAAACACCAGTGGTGATTATTTCATTTCTCAACCAAAGAAATCTTGTTCCGGGGCCCTTTAAAGTAGTATGTAAAAGTTGTCCAATTTGTGTCCAATTTTCCTGTGTTCTACCATTCATCTATTAAATATGCCAGAGAGGAGGAACATACTATGGATGTCTTGGGTTTACCATATACCTCTCTAAACAGAATGTGAAGACAAACACACAAATCAAAAATACAAAAGAAAAGAAAAAGCGTTACACTTAGGTGGTTCTCTGATTCACCTATTCCCCTGAGCCTATCCATTCCAGGAGTTCAAACTATTGCTACAGTCACCCATGTCTATTTTATGTGCTTCTCGTATATGGAAAAATGAAAGCATAGGTGGGATGCAGCTAAAGCAATGTGTAGAGGAAAATGTATAGCTTAGAAAAGAATGGAATAAATTGAACAAAAGATGTGCGATGCTTCTACACTAAAAACTGCAATACTGCTTAGGAAAAGCTGAAGAAGACCTAAACAACAGAGAAATCTACCATGTTTATGGATTAGAAGGCTCAACACTTATTAAGGGGAAATGATCTTACAATTCAATGCAGTGCTAACTATAATCCCAGTAGTCCCTTCACAGACTCTGACAATTCAAAACTGAATGTGAAGACCTAAAGAATCTAGAATAGTCAAAACAATTTTTTTTAAAGTTGGAACAGTTATTACATACTATGGTATTGGCAAAAGGACAGCCACATAGATCATGGACTTAGAACAGAGTCCAGAAATAGACCTACAAACAAGTGGTCAACTGACTTTTGGACAAAGACGCTGAAGCAATTCTATGAGAAAAGGAAATTCTTTTTAATCAAATAGTGCTGGAACAACTAGACAGCTATAGAAAAAACAAGGCCAGTGTATTCTTCTCTCACACCACACACAAAAATTAACTCTAAATGATCAAAGACAGAAATGTAAAAGCTTAAAATACAAAACTTCTGAAACTATGCCGGTCCAAACAGGAGCCATTATCTACATGTAGCTATTTGAATGTAAAGTTAAATAAAGTATGATTCAATACAATTAAACAGTCAATTTAATTCAATTCCATTTTAATTTAAAATTTAGTCCCTAAGTCACACTGGCCACATTTCAAGAGCTCAACAGCCACAAGTGGCTACTGCCTACCATAGTGGACAGTGCACTTTAGAAAATGTAAACTAATGCAGGCCAGTCTTTGCTAAGGCTGGGCTGGGGTCAGGCTTTGACTACAAAGATGGCACAAGGGAGCTTTTGAGGGTGACAGAAATAGTCTTATCTTGGTTGTGGAGGTATTTTCAGGTAGACATTTGTGAAATCTCATCAAACAGTACACTTTAAATGAGTGCAATTTTTACACAAATCTTATCTCAATAAAATTGGTTTAAAAAAACAACAGGGGCGGGGCAGAGGGAGGGTACATCTAGGTGACCTGTCTAAGCAGGGAATAAATCTGTACCTGACCGTGCCAGTTTAGATACTTTATTCCAATTTTTTACTGACATTATTTTTATGCTTGCTGAAGGTGGCTGCAGGAATACACTATAGCTGTATTTATCCATTTAAGGGTAAATTCTTGTGTGGCCTCATAGAAAAAACACAAATATGTCTCTTTGGCATGGGTGCCACGTGCCCAACAAATACCAATGAGCGCTTACAATCCACTCGGGGTCTCCACTCAACACTGGAGCTCCACAATAAAAGGAAGTCCACGGCCTTGTGAGGGAGACAGGTATGTAAACCATTTCAACATCAAATGATAAATTAAATGAAATGAAAGGGCAAAGGGGGAGTGGGGCTGTCTAGAAGCCGTACTAACACAAGCAAGGGGAGGGAGACGGGGGAGGGCTGCACTACTATAGTGTAATTAGAGAAATTAAACAGAATTCAGCCTGGTTGGAGCACTAGGTTTTAGAAGGGAGTAACAGGAGTCTGGGCCATGGGGGAGGACGGTGAGGGCAGAAGGTAACAGCTAGATGCCGAAACTCCTGTCAGCTAATTGGAAGTAGCTGAACCTTGACCTTGAGAGCGACAGGAAACCAGTAAAGGATGGCAGAGGCAGGGCTTCAGATAATCTTAGTTGATAGCAGAATGGAGAGTGGGCTGAAGAGGGAGAGGAAAGACTAGGAGGGAAACCAGTTTTCATTTGGGTCCATTCCTCCCTTCCCTGTATTTTCTTTGGGATTTTTGGGAAAGGAGGATGAAGTGGGGAGGAGAAATCACTCAAGAGATCCTTGCCTTCTTCCTCTGTAATCCCCTATTATATCTATTTTAAGACTCCATTCAAGGCGCCTGGGTGGTTCAGTCGGTTAAGCATCCAACTTCGACTCAGGTCATAATCACGTGGTTTGTGGGTTCGAGCCCTGCGTCAGGCTCTGTGCTGACAGGTAGCTCAGAGCCTGGAACTTGCTTCAGATTCTGTGTCTCCCTCTCTCTCTGACCCTCCCCTGCTGTCTCTCTCTCTCAGAAATAAATAAAACATTTAAAAAAAAAAAAAAAAAGATTCCATTCAATGACTGTAATAACTGCCATACGGATTTTCCAACTTATGAAGAATCCATCCAGACAGAAGGCAGCAAGGCAGAGAGATGGTCACTATCATGAGAAGTAGTATGAACGCACCTGGGACTAGGAACATTAACTATGTATGTGGCTTATAGGTCATTACTTGCCACGTCCAGGCAGACACTGCCAACCTAGCACAGCACTTGTCCCTTGGGGTCCACAGAGGGTCCCAGAATCCTTCCAAAGGCAGCTCTCCAGCCAGGCACTACTGACCAAACTCAGCCAGATGAAGAAAAAGCTTATCTGCCCTTCCTGAGGCAGACCCTTGCTTTATCACTAATCGATGACATAGGCCCAAGACTGGAGGACACCAAACTTCTTCTTAAAGAGATGTGTAATAAATAGTTTAGATGTCGCAAGCCATATGGTCTCTGTGGCATCTAGTCAACTCTGCCAATGAAGTACAGAGGCAGCCACGACAAGATATAAACAAATGAGCATGGCTATTATCATAAAATTTCACTCACGGACACTAGAATTTGAATTTCACACAATTTCCATGTGTCATAAAATTGTACTCTTCTTTAAATTGTCTTCAATTATTTAAAAGGGTAAAAAACTATTCTTAGCTTGCTGTAGTAGCGGAATAAAATCAGGGAGTGGAACAAATTTGGACTCTGGCTGTAGCCTGCTGACCCTTGGGTAAGACAGACTTCCTGGACATCTGGGTTTTGGGCCTGAGTCTTAAGTAAGAAATATGAGAAACGATGGTAACTTGGTCATTTAGGGGCCCTATTTTTTCATCAAAAAGAATTTCACAATTCTGCACATAAACTTTCTTTACACTTTTAATATTTAATGAGCAGGAAAACATATAATGATAAAGAGCCACTAAGTGTTAAGTAACATTTTAAAATAAACATGAATTTTATTAATCACTCTTTACATACATATATACATAGTAATACAAACAGGTACAAACCAATTTATTCAATCTGTAAAGGTTAATGTGCACAGAATGTACTGGCCCCGTTGCAAAATTTTTAGAGTTGGAAATACCGCTCCAGTGAGCAGGGCCATCAGGTCCCAGGACACAGCCAAGTAAGGCTTTCATCCTCTAGACTGGACACCCTTAGTAACCAAAACATGCCATCAGCAATGGTCACAATGGCTCTAAGTCCTCCAGGGTACCTGCTGTGTCTAATGGATGAAGAACGGGTTTCAGGGATGCTCTCAACAAACACCTTTCTTTGATTCCTCTTCTAGGGGACAGTGGGTAGATTATAATGGTGGGCAGATTATTATGGGGACAAAGGGGGAAGTCTGAGTGTTTGGCTGATGGTGATTTTTTTTTTTTAAACAAAAGAACTGAAACAGCAGAAAGAGAAAAGGAGATTCCTACACCCCAAAACAAAATCTGAAGGACTCTGCCTGTGTTAAATTGACAGGACCTGAGAAATGATTTAGGAAAACAGTTTCAAAAAACAGGAACCACACTGTCTGCCCATGTGAAAACCCACAATAGGTAGGACTCTGATTTTGACCTTATTTTAATGTGACCGTAAAGATCTAGCCTTACATCCAAACTAGGCCAAGTCGACACAGCTAATAAACACTAATAACCACCTCAGTTCCATTCGATGGGAAACCCAAATCACAAAACTCCCGCAAAGGGATTAGCAAGATTAAACATGGAGGTGTACTCACCTGAAACGGGTAAAGTGCAGACTGTTATCTGGAGATGTACGTGTATGTTCTGGAGGGAGAACGGGTCTCGTTCTGGGCACTGGGAGGCACATTTAAGAAATCCCAAATCAAAATAGTGTCATCATGGGAGCTGCTGATGATCTGAAATTCATCAAACTGTAGCCGAAACACACGTCCAGAATGTTCCTGTGAAATGTAACAGCTTGATGAGTAAAAAGAGACCTTTACAATCCCTCATTTCTATCCGTGATCTGGCGCAGGCTGAAAATGCAGTTCCTTATCCAGGCTTCCTGAATGTTCCAGAGCTTACTGAGCTTTGTCCTTAACCCCAGGGACAAAACTCTGGCTTTTCCTGCTAGGCCTTTTCTTTAAATTAATCTTTGTATCTGAGATCCTGGCTTATTAATGTGTCAAAGAAGAAAAATGATGTGATCGCTTCATCAAGGATCTTGGAAAGGTAAACAACAATATTTAATACCCATTCTTGATACACTGTAAAAAGCAGAACCAGAAGGGTAGTGTTTTTAACATTACCATGAATATCTATTTCAACCACAGCCAAAATCAAAATTAATGGTGAAATATAAGAAGCATTCTCATTAAAATCAAGAAGAAAACAAGAATGTCCCTAACCATAGTTCTGCACGTTCTAATCAATGCAAGAAGCAAAGAAATAGAAATAAAAGGTAAAGCTACTAAAAAGAAAAATCTATCAGTATTTTCAAAAAACTGTCTCATTAATATAACAAAAGCAACTAGACTATTAGAAACAATGAGCCTGCTAAAGATGTTAAAACAAGATTAACATATAAAATTATTTTTAAATGCGAAAGCAATAATTCATACAATATAGATTGAAGAGAAATCATGTTAATAATACAGAAATGTACCGTATTATAAAAATAAAAGGTAACCAGATGCTGATATCAAGAACTCTCCCAAGGGGTGCCCAGGGGGCTCAGTTGGCTAAGCATCCAACTTCAGCTCAGGTTATGATCTCACAGTCCATGGATTTGAGTCCCGCGTCAGGCTCTGTGCTGAAAACTCAGAGCCTGGAGCCTGCTTCAGATCCTGTGTCTCCGTCTCTCTCTCTGCCCCTCCCCCACTCTTGCTCTGTTTCTCTCCATCTTTCGAAAATGAATAAATGAAAAAAAAAAAAAATTAAAAAAAAAAAAAAAAAAAAAAAGGAACTCTCCCAAATCTATAGGAAGGAAACCAATCTGCCTACAAATTAGGATGCCTGCTTTCGTATTTTAAGTTGTATTAATTAATGTTCCTTAGGAAAGAGCTCACTGTAATGTAAATATCAATTACTCTCTGATTTTGGCTAACCAAAATGAAAAATGCGTTTCTCCGAAGGCCGGCTAGGAGATCCGCAAGCTTTCCTGTGACACAGCTAGGCAGGTCCATATACAGGAGGCCACCCTCCGGCACAGGACCCACTCCCACTTCAACAGACTACGTACCACCAACGTGCGCAAACACAACGTGCTTGCTGGGGCTCGAGGGTCAAGAGCAGCTTGCAAGTCCCAAACTTTAATTTTCCTAGAAAAGAAGATTGCAGTTAGTGGAAAAGTTATCATTTTATATATTGTCGAGTACTTCCTTGATAGAAAGGAGTGCATCTGAACTGCTATTATAAAAGCTAGTGGAGGGGCGACTGGGTAGCTCCGTTGGTTCGAGCCTGACTCTTGCTTTTGGCTCAGGTTGTGATCTCGCAGTTTGTGGGGTCAAGCCTGGCATTGGGCTCTGTGCTGACAGTGTGGAACCTGCTCCGGAGTCTCTCTCTGTCTATTTCCACTTGCACTCTCAATCTCTCAAAATAAATTTTAAAAAACACTAATAAGCTAATGGAGAACAGGCTTATGTTTTTACAAATTATTTAAATGAATTACATTTGATTTGGAAAAAATAAGGACCTACACATTCTCAGAACTGCTGAAACCGTGAAGAAATATTTTTAAGGGAGATAAGAAAACAACTTCATGTTATCTAAATTCAGTTCCTGACTTGATAATCTATGTCACCAAATTCATTAAGCAGGGGGCTCTCTAGGGCTGAGTAGGTGCTGCTGACAGAAGCTAGGGCTCTCTGGGAAATTCCAAGGATACCTTTCTTCAAACGAAACAAATGCTGAAAGTTAATAATAGGAGCATAAACAGACCAACTAATCTATGAGTATATATAAGGTCACCTTGAAAGATTTATAGTTGCCATTTGCTCATTTAAAAAGCCATTAGGCTTTTTAAAGAGTATTTGTTCAATTAACCAAAAGGGGAAAGGAAATGTATCACTGAACGAACACACACACACACACACACACACAGGTTTAATTTCGGGCAAAGGCAAAGAACTGAATTCCTGCACAACCTAAGCTACTCCCAGTGTTTACAACAACGGTTAAAGGGGTAAGCACAGGGGTTACAGGGGCTCTGCTAGACTTGGGACAAGACTGCTCATCCTTCTGGGCTGGAGTGGCCTTGCTTGATCAAGCGGTACAGTTACAAGTGCCATCCACCAGCACACAGAAAGGACCGGGCACTGAGCTGGCACACACACAGCCGCTAATACACAGCACTCCTTTTTCCTGCAGACACGGTGACAGCAGTGCACTTAGGAACCTGAAATACGTACCCATCATAGGCCCCACTGACAATCCTCTTGTTATCAAACCGGATGCATCGGACCAACTCTTCATGTCCCTCAAGGACTCTTAAACAGGCACCACATTCGATATCCCACAGCCTTGAATGTGAAACAGAGCTCTGTGAAACAATTTCCCACACATAATTCACACCATCCCGAGTTCCTCCTATCTGCCCCATACATGACTTTCACTCTCTTGAACTTTTTTTCTATCTCATTCCCAGTCTACACTGTACACAGAGAAAGATATGCATGTACATTTATACCACTTGTATATTTTAAAGCACTAATTTGGGTAGAAGACTTACTTCTCATTGTATTTTCTTTTACTCAATTAGAAACCTTTATTAATCACATGCATGTATTACTATTTAAATAAGATCAACAAACAAGAAACTTCAGTTCTATTTAGTTCCTAGGCATTCTTTTGATGTCGAATTGATGAAACCATGTAGCCAAATGGTCTAGGAAGGATTTTTCTGGGGGAGATAGGGATTGCAGGCAGGAGAGAAGAAAAGGCATGTATGTGTGGGGGCTGCAGCGGAGGGGAAAGATACAATATTCACAGCCAGGGGGTTAGGCTTCCACCCCAGGCACCTCCAGCCTGGCGTCCATGAGACCCACTGAAGTTAGAACCAGTGGACCCGCATAATGGTCTTCCTTTCCTGATGAGGGTTAGGGATATCCCTCCTAGATATTACTGCACACTAGGGTTGTCCAGTTCACACGGTCACAGTAGGAGTCTCTCATTGGGTATATGAAGCATGTCAAAAACACAAACCCATACACTATGCTCAGCTTTTTTCTCGCTATATGATTTATAGGACAATTCTGAAAATGAAGATCTTTAAATTTTTCTGTCATCATTGATTTTTCTACAGTGTTCGTAAAAATAAATCTTAATGGCAAGCTAACATGTACCAAACAAAGTCAGCAAACTAATTCCGTAACAAGTTTTTCTTAGCCTCTCTACCAGTAGCTCTCACCATATACCCAATGAATATTTTACCACAGCCACCCTCAGCAAATCTTCTCTTCAGTGTCAGTGATGGCAGCTTCTCTAATCTACTGTGAGCAGAGCCATTCAGCACTGCCACTGACTCCAAAGTGGCTCCCCTCTATAAACTATAAAGGAATATACATTAGGGTTTTGTAAAATCCCAGAGATTCCAGTGAGAAAAGTTAAGGGCTGTTTACTGATGAAATATTAATATAAAGCATGATGGATATAAGAGAACCACCAAGACTCAGGTTCTCAACTGACTTCTATAATATCTTAAAACTTAAAATGATAAAGAAAACTTGCAGCGATTTCAGCTTTACTGCTGTTTTGTTCTCTCCTTCCTTCCTTCTTTCTTTTAAAACCCATCTTGAAACCAATCTTTATTTTGCTCCAACATTTAAGAATTTGGTTATAAAACAGCTATTAGCAAATGTCGGGACAATGGAAAAATGACTTGGGATCAGTAAACAGACATTTAAGGAAAGCTCTTAATAAAGTGTCTATGGACAGTCAAGGTTTATTAGAAAGCAAGGACCCTGAGTGTTGGGAAGAAAAAAAGGAGATGAAAACCTGAAACAGGAGTGGATGAGTCTGTAGAGCAGTCTTGGGTAAGACACAGATAAATCAAGTACATTCCTCCCACCTGCGAGTGAGCAAGACAGGAGCTTACAGGTAAGGGAAAGTAGAATCAGGCTGGGGCATCCTCTGTCCCGAGGGGCTGTGGTGTTAAGGGATCTCAGGTGGAGCGTATGTTATAAGATGTGTGTATCGGAGGAATCAGTTTGTCCACTTCGGTATGCAGGACCAAACAGATTAACACAAGTTACCTAGAGTTTTCGTACATGAAGTATCCCCAAAGGCGCTGAGTCTTTTGAACATCAAGACTGGGAGAGGAGGCAAAACTAGAGCAAAAATCAGCCTGCTCTGTCAGCACCCCAACTTCCACTCACCTTATGGTATTATCTGATGATCCACTAACAACCAGCCGATCCCTGTACTGGAGACAGGCAATGCCTCGCTTGTGCCCATTCAGAGTACGAACAAATTCACAGGTACTTGTGCTCCAGACCTAGAGAACCAATTGATAACATTTTAAGAATAAATGCAAAAAAGCCCTCTCACAATATACCTTTTTAAAAATATCAGAGCTTCTAAGAATGACCAAAAGACTTGATTATGAAATCTGGTTCAGAGGCTGGGGGACAGACTGGCCGGCATACAGTTTTCCTGGCTGCAGAGTGATAAAACAGGAATGAAACAGAGAGGGAAGCTGTGAAGTCTCCAAATCTTGAGATATTCACAGAGAGAACATCTCCTGGATGGTTCAGACATTCACTTGCCTGGAGGGAAGAGTGTGTTTCTGTGCCAGCTGACACGTCAAATCCAATGTAACTGATGTGAAAAAGTTTCACCTTTCACATCTTCCTCTTTTCCAGCATAGTTCCTTGAACAGCTCCATTTGTTTTGACACATCAGTCCTAATATTATGTATGTGGAATAAATAATCCCTCCTTTGTGAAACCATCTGCAAGGCTTAGATGTTCACAGACACACTTAATATATTACAAGCCAAAGAAGGAGATGCAAAGCAACCAGAGTGTCCTGAATTATTTTACCAGCTGCATTTGTAGCTGAATGGGATAACTAGATCTCCACATTCAGAAGAATGAAGCCGGACCCCTAACTCACACAATATACAAAACTATAACTCAGAATAAGCCAAAGGCCTAAATTTGAGAGCTGAATCTAGGAAACTCTCAGAAGAAAACACAGGAGTAAGTCTTTGTGATCTTGGATTAGGCAATGGTTTCTCAGACATGACAATAAGAGCATAGACAACAAAAGACAAAAATTGATAATCTGCACTTCACCAAAATTAAAGTTGTCTGTGTGTCAAAGAACATCATCAAGGCAGTGAAAAGAGAAGCCACAGGATGGACGAAAATATTTGCAAGTATCATTCACCTGATAAGGTACTTGTAATCAGAATATATAAAGAAGTTTTGTAACTGAACAGTAAAAAGAAAAAAGAAAAAACAAAAACCCCCAAATAATCCCATTTTTTAAGAAATAGATGTTTCTCCAAAGAAGATATAAAAATGGCCAATAAGCACTGAAAAGATGCTCAAAATCACTGGTCCCAAGGGAAATGGAAATCCAAACCAGAGACCCCACTGCGGGACTAGTAGCATGGCTGTGATAAACAAGACAGACAATAACAAGTGCTGGCAAGGAGACGGAGAAATCCTCCAGGCTGGTATTATGCAACAGCTGCTCCGTAAAAAGGCCCAGGCCCTCTGGACTTCCAGGCAGTGATCTTGGTCCAACTGGTCTGACTGAGTGGTAAGTGAATTACTGCATTCAAACCTTACTTGTTCAACTTCCAGACCACTTAATCTAAAGTTTGATGCTGTCTCTGTGATTTGCAGGGCTAGATACTAGATACGAGAATGCTACCTAGTGCTGGTCATAAAAAGGTTTTTTTGATCCAAATTCAAATGCTCACACAATGCTGGTGGGATTTTAAAATGGCGTGGCCACTCTGGAAAACGTTTGGTAGCTCCTCAAAATATTGAACCCAGAGTTAACATTTCAAGAGAACTGAAAAAAAATTTTTTTTTCATTTTAATGTTTTATTATTTCTGAGAGAGAGAGAGAGAGAGAGCGTGAGCAGGGGAGGGTCATAGAGAGTGGGAGACGTAGAATGAGAAGCAGTCTCCGGGCTCTGAGCTGGCTGTCAGCACAGAGCCCGACACGGGGCTTGAATCCACAAACCGTGAGATGACCTGAGCCGACGTTGGATGATTAACCGACGGAGCCACCCAGGCACCCCAAGAGAACTGAAAATTTTTATCTGTGCAAAAACATATACACAAATGTTTATGGCAGCATTATGTGTAACAAATAAAAAGTGCAAACAACCAAAAGTCCATCAACAGATGAATGGATAAACAACGTGGTACATCCACGCAGTGGAATTTTATTCATTCATCAGAACGAATGAAGGATTGACACATGCTATGATATTCATGGAGGAGCCATGAAACCACTACACTAAGTGCAAGAAGCCCAACAGAAAAGGCCACATATCATATGATTACTTTCATATGAAACATTTAGAAGAGGCAAATCCATGCATATAAAACAGATCAGTGATTGCTAAGGACCAGAAGAAGAGAACAGGGGTTGACTATCAATGGGTTTAAGGTGTTTCCAGAGGGGATTGAAAATGTTCTGAAACTAGTGATGGCTAACACTGTAACTATATTAAAGGTCACTGGACCGCATGCTTTTAAGTGGTGAAACTCAGGGTATATGAACTGCATCTCAAAGCTAAAATTTTATAAAGTTAAAATGGATATCGGAATCAGACCTGCATTTACCCACATCCTATGACTCACCGTGGACTACAACCGTTTGCCTCATGCCTGCCACCCACCACACGCTGAGCTTCCTGAAGGCAGGGATGGGCCTTACTCATTCTCGTATCTCCAGTATCCAGTCTAGGGTCTATGGCATGGCGGGTTGTTCTCAAAATTAAGTGAATAAATCAAGCACAGGTGAAGGAGAATACAGATCTTGCCCACTACCAGGTTGGTAAAAGCCACCTCTGCTTCCTCCATGTTTTAAAAGGCACAGGAGTAAGCAGAGTTATGACTAGCAGACATACTTACTTTGATGGTTCTGTCACCAGAGGCAGACACGATGTATTTATCATCAAAGTCTACTACATTGACGGCAGCACGGTGGCCAACAAGGACACGACGTAGAGTGATGTCCGTAGCAGAAGCCATGTCCCACACAGCGATGGAGCGATCCTTGGAACAGGTCACCATGAGTCCATTGCTGAAGCGTAAGTGAAGCACAGCCTCATTGTGGTGGATCAATGTGTTCAGAACTTCACCCGTGTTGACATCCCAGACTCTAGAGAACAGAAAGGAACAATGCATAATTACTGACACAACCAGGAGGAATTTAGTGTCTGTGCCCTGGGCCCATTCTTAGTAGTAGCTAGAGAGATGTAAGCTTCACTTGTATCTGGTGAGTGGGACCTCACACCTAAGGCCATGCTTGAAAGGAGCCCCCAGAAGCAATTATTCTATCTGCTGAGAAGTACTGAGAGGGTTTCAAAAAAAGGCCAATTATGGGGGTGCCCAGGTAGCTCAATAGGTTAAGCGTCTTACTCTTGATTTCAGCTCAGGTCATGATCTCACAGTTCATGAGTTTGAGCCCCCACACTGGGCTCTGCACTGACAGTGCGGAGCTTGCTTGGGATCTCTCTCTCTCCCTCTCTCTATGCCCTTCCCCCATTCACTCTCTCTTGATCTCTCTAAATAAATAAATAAGCTTAAAAAAAAAAAAAAAGGAAGAAAGGTGGCCAATTCTGGCTCTGTCCAGGTTGAGGTTTATTTAACATCAGGTAATCAGGGATGGTGATGACAACAAAATGATTCTTCATGTAAGTGGGCTCACAGTGAGTATGAGATGACAGGGGAAGGAGGCTTGGTAGTTGGAGAATTGAGGACAGTTTCCAAGCTTAAGGTTCTTTTTGACCTCTGATAGGTCTCAAAGTCCATTATTTATCCATTGCAAACTACAGACTGTAAGTCATGACATCTCATCAATTCCCACATGCGTCTATTTACCCAATCGCTTTATGGACAAAGGCAATATGGCAGCTACTTCATCCATGACATATAAGGTTCCTAGGGGCAGCCCTTTCACACCACAGCTTTTCTGTAAACCCTGTCTCCTAAGAATGCAAGTTCACACAGAGGATAGGAGGAAATTCGCAGGCTACTGTGGCAGAAGTAGTGCCTGAGAAGCACTGAGCCAGAGATAAGGCACTAAGCAGGCTGGTGACTTTTCCCAAAGTCTGGAGCATGGTCCCCCAGGAGAAAGCTAGCCTAATGCTAGGTAATGTGCTTCTATAGGAAAGTACATCTCCAGCTCTATAACATACAACAATGGGAAAGGACCCATTTAATAAAAGTTGGCCTGCTTTGTTCAAATAAACCCACACCTGAATTGGTTTTGAAATACACATATAAAACATATACAAAGTACGTGTGTGCTCATCCCAGGAAAGGGTGCACTCTCAGCCTTCGCACAGAAGATATACAAGTTCAGACCAGCGAAACCAAATCACTCACCTCACTGTGGAGTCTGAAGAACCAGTCACAATGACACGTTCATCATACTGGAGACAAAGGACAGAGCCAGTGTGTCCCGTTAACACTTTCAAACATTCCAAGCTGGTTTTATCCCAAATCTATTGAGACAAGATCAACCACAAACAGTGATTTAGTATCTCACCTTCTGATAAATGTTTTTGTCTTACCTTACTTTCTGAATCATAAAATAAAAACAAACCTGCGTTACAATAAATAAGAGCAGTGAAACTTCAAACAGGTGCAAAAGGACAAAAAAAGAAAAGAGACAATATTGAATAACTTCCAAAACAGATGCATTATTTTGTTTACTTTGTCCCTCCAACTTTTGTACTCATTATATTTAACAGCCTTATAAAGGGAATTTTTAAATAAACCCTGAAAAATGTTGGCTCACCCTCTGGAAAATGATGTGACAATATCTACTAAGAGCCTTTAAAAATGCATCCCCTTAACCCATTATGATTAATTACAAAAAAAATTTTTAAATGAAAAATGTTCGACATTTCAGAAAAATTTCAAAGTAAACTATGAAAAGTTTTCAATGAGAGAATATAATGCTGTATTACAGTTATGTTTTTTAAAAAACAGAATGAAAGCCATCTATATGGTGATAATATATTTAAAGAAAAAATAGATGAAAAAGGAAAGATAATGTTAATAATAACTGGTATTGTTCTCTGAATGCTCTTTTTCTATCTTCTTTTGATCTTTCCAGTGGTTCCCAAGTTTTCAATACGCTCCACATATAATAGGGGATAGGAAATCATTTTTTAAAAGACTGAATTGTTAAAAATAGATTGTGCAAACCTGTTTCTTCCCTTGTAAAATCATACTGTCATAATTTGCAGCATCCCTCAAGTATACTGCAATTAGCCAAAGTGAGACATTGAACTATCTTTCTACAACAGCAAGGTTGCTTCTCATTTCTGACCCATTAGGAACACAGCTATTTTGAAAGAGTGGTAAGAGATCCAGGACTGGTACAGAATGAAGTACAAAAGGTTTACAACCACTGGTCTAGATGATCTCTCTTAAATGCATCTCTGCTCTACTGTTTGTGTCTTATAAATCAAACGTATGCCTATTTTAAACATGGTGTGCCTCTATTAACAGAACTTTTTTAGAAACACATCCAATGTAAATGAAATGCAAGCCTGTGGCCAGCCTATGCTCTGATAAGGTCCTTACAAACCACTCTTTTATTTCTAAGGTTTATTTATTTATTTTGAGAGAGAGAGAGAGAGAGCACGTGCACCCATGTGGGAGAGGTAGAGAGAAAAGGGGAGAGAGAGTCCCAAGCAGGCTCCACCTTGTTAGCATGGAGCCTGACGCAGCTTTGAACCCATGAACTGTGAAATCATGACCTGAGCCGAAATCAAGAGCTGGACACTTAACCAACTGAGCCACCCTGGCAACCCCCCACCCCACCCTTATAAACCATTCCTACTATTCCTTAAAAGATAATTGTCCAAATTAAATAGTAACATATGTCACTCTTTCTAGAGTATATTTATGGCCACAGGTTATCAGGGCAATTGATAAGTACTACATAAAAATAGGGTTCTGTGGTCAAATATATTTTGGAAGTTGGGAAACACTGAGTGTCTCTCTCCTGCAGACCTTCTCAGAGTCTTTATGTGCTACTCTATCCTATGAATTTCTAAGAAGGAGATACAGCATGCAGTCAACTTGAGGACAGACTAATAGAAATTATCCAGAAAAGAAGGGTTAAAAGACTGGAGAAAATGTAAGACAATAACAAAAGATCTACTATTTATGTAATAAGAGTCTCAGAAGGAGAAAAAAAGAAAATGGGGCAGAAAAAATATTTGAAAAAATAATAGCCAAAGACTTTTGAAATTTGGTGAACGAAAGACATAAATTTACAGATCCAAAAAGCTCAGTGAAAGACTTGCTAGGTATGTCATCAAAAAGTAAGATCCATGAAAGTAAGGCACCTAGATGGCTCAATCGGCAGAGCATCCGGCTCTTGATTTGAGCTCAGGTCATGATCTCACAGTTCATGGGATGGAGCCCTGTGTCAGCCCTACACTGACAGTACAGAGCCTACTTGGGATTCTCTCTCCTTCTCTCTCTGTCCCTCTTCCACTTTCACACACTCTCAAAATAAATGAACTTTAAAATTAAAAAAGCATGATCCATAAAAGAAAAAATGGTACACTATACTTCATCAAAATCAAAATCTCTTGGTCTATGAAAGACATTATTGAGAAAATGAAAAGACAAGACTGGAAGAAAACATTTGCAAAACCTATCTTAAAAAAGGATGTGTATGCAGGGGCACCTAGTGGCTCAGTCAATTGAGCATCCAACTTCAGCTCAGGTCATGATCTCGTGATTCATCAGTTCAAGTCCAACACTGGGCTAGCTGCTGTCAACAGAGAGCCCACTTCAGATCCTCTGTCCCCCTCTATCTGCCCCTCCCCTACTTGTGCTCTCTCAAAAATAAATAAAAATATTTTTTAAAAGAATCTGTATTCAGAATATGTAAAGAATTCTCAAAGTTCAACAATATTAAAACAAAGAACCCATTTTTAAAATGGACAAAACATTCGGATACTTCCCCACCAAATATACAGATGGCAAATAATCAAGTGAAAGATGCGTGTGATCATCAGTCGTTGAGGAAATGTAAATTTAAATCAAAATGATGTATGTCTACATATTAGAATGGCAAATATCAGCCTGAGAATACCAAAGGCTGACAAGGTTGCATTACAAAGGGAACTCTCATACCTTATTGATAGGAATGTAAAATGGTATAAAGCCACTTTGAAAACCAGCTTGGCCATTTCTTAGCAAGAAATACAGATACTTACTATGAGTCAACAATTCCACTTCTACCTTTTTACTCAAGTGCACTAAAAATGTATGTTCTCATAAAAACTTGCATACATGTTTCTACTGGCTTTATTCATAATTGTAAAAACTGGAAACACAAATGTCCTTCAACAGGTAGATGGATAAACACACTGAGGTGCACCAGAAAGTAGGCTGCTACTAAGCAAGAAAAGGGAATCAACTACCACTAAATGTAATAAAGGAGATGAATCTCAGCTAAGTATAAGATGCTAAGTGTAAGAAACCAAACTCAAAAAGCTACATACTGTGTGAAACCATTTATAGAACATTCTCTAAAAGGCAAAATTGTAAGAATAGAAAAAAGAAAGGTTGAAGTGCCTGAGTGGCTCAGCTGGTTAAGCATCCAACTCCTGTTTTCGGCTCAGGTCATGATCTCACGGATTCATAAGTTCGAGCCCCAAGTAGGGTTCTGCATTAACAGCACGGAGCCTGCTTGGGATTCTCCGTCTCCCTCTCTCTCTCTCTCTGCCCCTCCCCCACTCACGTGAGCAAGTATGCTCGCTTGCACTCGTGTGCTCTCTCTCTCAAAAATAAATAAACTTAATTTTTTTCAAACAATTAATTAAATAAGAAATATATTTTAAAAGCCCGGCGTCTAGGGGGAAGAGCTGAACACAAAGGGGCTGAATAAGGGAAGGGCTGGGGATGATGGAACTGCTCTATATCTTGATTTTTGTTACAGTTACACAATTCTTTGTGCTTGTCAAAACTCATATAACTTTACAACAAAAAGAGTGAATTTTCCTGTATGTAATCTGTAACTTAAAAAAAAAACTGCAATGTTTTCTTAAATATGAGAAAATAAGCTATACACAATGTAAAACAAAATCTGTCAGATCAGCTGCCGAACATTAAAAACAGAGAAGTGGTCCAGCTTATCTACTATTGAAGAGTGAATTAAAACATATAAATATAAATTGTCCTATCATTCTTCTGTGTTATCATTTGAGCCTTCATCAGCACCCATAAAAGGTAATGACTGTGATTTACAGGCAAGGCAGCAACACTTCCACCAGCTAGCAAAGTCAGCAAGAGCCCCGTGATACTGAGATATCTTCCGTGTGCACCTAAACACAGAACAGAGAGTGTAAATGTGCTTAGAGAAGGATAAGAAGTGAGACAGTCCAGGGGTGCAGTGTTAAGTCTCGGGAAATACCCTGTGGTTCTTGAGAACCACACTGAGAGCTGCCAAGATGAAGGGGCACAGATAAAAACAATCCAGAGTAAGTGGAGAGATTCAGTGATCTAGTATCTAACACATCACCACAATTCTAAAAAGAATACATACAAAATACAGTCATTCACCTTAATAGAATTATCTCGTAGGCCACTGATAATTTTTTCATCATCATACTGTAAACAGTAGACACCTTTACTATTTTCAGAGCGGCACTGAATCCTCTGCAAGTTGTGTCGTCCACACCGCCAGTTAGATTCTATAGTCTGGGGGGGAAAAGGAGGCAACAGATGAGTTCTTGTGAATCGACTATTCTATTAGGCTTCAGACTCTGGTGTTGCGTCCAGGAACAGCATACCAGATACCCCATCTTGGTTTGCATAACTGTCTGTGGATAGGAATCATGCTCTTTTCCAAGTAAGACATTAGCCCAGCAGTGTTTTTTGTCAAAAGCTCCCTGACTATCTGGCAACCGTCATAGGATTTCCAATGAGTTTGAGTTAGGTTTGAAAAAAAAATAGCCTAGACAGAACTCAATATGCTTAAAGAATGCCATCTGCACCCAAAATATACAAATAAACAGTAACTCACTGGGTCACTCTCTAATGCCAATTAAAATATTTGGCAAAAGACAACAATAAGCGTAGACAATCTATGTATCCATCCAAAGCATTGTCTTAATCACTGAGAAAAGATATCAAACAACTACTACCTGTTAATTACTACAGAATCTTATTTGTTATCCATTTTTAATCATTAGCTAGACTGAAAGGTTCTTTAGAATAAGAATGGCACATCTGGGCCCTGGATTCTCATTCTTTCATCATTCATGCAACATTTACTGAGATGCTACTTTATTCCATATACTGACTGTGCTAGGTGCCAGGGATTAAAAGAACAGGAAGCACACTGCTTTCAAGGGAGCTACCACTCCAGGCACACAGGTATCTAGGCACAGAGTATGTGGAACCGGATAGACTCGAAAGATGTTCATCTGGTTAAGTGATCCACACACTAACCTTGGAAGGAAGTTCTTATCACTTTCCTTTTACAAACAAGGGAAGAGTTTAATTTCCTGAGGCCACAAAACTACATAACCAGACTAGATGGAAATTATACCCAGTTCTTCCTGACACCGAGTCCATGCTTCTCCACTAAAATATGCAGTGTCTATAAAGAAGTATAGTCCTAGCTATTGAGGCAGTGAACACAAAACATAGGATCGGTAACAATCCCAGATAAAATATGAGTGCCGAATGAGTGATTAAAACTCTAAGTGCTGTAGGACACTTACAGGAGATAAACAGTACTGTGGCCTCAGACCAGTGGGCAAAGTTTAATGAGAAAGTGGGTTGGGTCACGCCCAGGGCACTAGAAGACCTAAGCTTTGGTAGTAGACATGAAGCATTTTTAGGATCAAAGAGCATAATGTTTCTACTAAGAACAACCCAAGCGTCCACTCCGAATCCTTGAAATTAGGGGACTTTGGGGACTAAAATAATTGGTTACACTTGAGTTCAGGGTATAGCCTGAAAGATTATCTCTGAGTAGTTAATTATCTGAGTAGCTAAAAGTTTAATTAGTTGCTCTGCTGAAGAAAGGTGATAAATCTCATCTTCATTGACAATATGCACTTAATTACTAGCTCTGCTGACATGTGAAAACTGAATTTCCTCTTCTGCTGCAGGCAGTGTGCTTCTTAAGCTCTGAAATGTTCACATTTACTGAATGTTATGTGCCAGGTACTGTGCTTTCACAACACTATGCGATGTAACTTAAATATTTTATAGCTAACTTAATCATCCCAACTCTTAAGCCGAAATTACTGTCCTCCTTTTACAGAAAAAGAAATGGAAGGTTGGAGATAGTGATACACATATACCTAAAAAGGAAAATGTTTCATCATTTGTGGCCTTAGCACAGGAGCCTGGAAATATAATCCCTGGCCTCAAAGAGCTCCTATGTATGGCCTTGGGAGAGGGCAGGATCACGTATTTCTAACACCCACGCGAAAGTGAGGAGGTGCCATGGAGATGCCAGGAGTGAGGAAACGCTCATGTGCCCGTCTGCTACCAAGTCAGAGCTTCTTAGCCAGCAGCAGCATCTCCAGTAAGTTTGTGAAATGTCAGAAATAAAGAACATTCCAAAACTGAATAATAATAATAATAGTAATAGTAATAACAATAATAATAATAATAATAATTCACCCCACCTCTGCTACTGCTACCAACGTAGATCAACAGATCTGAGTATATAAATGACTTTTAGAAAAGGGGTCCCGAAAAAAGACTTAAACTGAACTCAATGCTTAGAATCATTTAGAGAACAAACATATTTTTAGACAGTGACTGAGCCACCTCAGCATGCTAAGTATACCAGGAAAAAGCTGACTTGGGAGAAAGATGTACTGGTAACAAGTCTTCCTCATGGCCAGTGACTCTTGGCAGTGGTTACTGACAGTCAGGTCACAGTCTGAAGGGAGGGGCCCAGAGAGCTGCTGCAGAATGCAGGAGTCCACATACAGCCAAGCGTTACCAAGCTGAATACATAACATGCCTTACATATTAATATCAGGTGTCATTTTTAAAATTCGTATAACTGCTTTTAGTTATAAAACATAAACATTTGCTTTAAAATATCAGTAAAGCAGGTTTTGTTACCTTATATATTTCAATGCAAAGGAAAAGTATTTACTATCACAAGGGAGACTGGAAAAAAATATAACGTAAAAAAAGAAAGTAGAAGAATCTTCAGGGGAGGTGGCTCAGTAGGTTGAGCGTCCGACTTCGGCTCAGGTCAGGTCCTGATCTCGCGGTTCGCGGGTTCAAGCCCCACATCAGGCACTGTGCTGACAACTCAGAGCCTGGGGCCTGTTTCAGATTCTGTGTCTGCCTCTCTCCCTGGCCCTCCCCCACGCATGCTGTGTTTCTGTCTCAATAATAACAAACATTAAAATATATATATTAAAAAATTTTTTAAAAGAATCTTCATGCCAAATGGAATTTCCTATATGCTCTCCCTCTAGTGGAAAATGGTTTCTAGAATGGGCTGACTTGATTACAATCTCTTACTAGACCTAAAAACCTAAAAATACAGCAGAGAGGACCAGAGAGGAGGCAGGATGAGGTGGCAGTCAGCCTGGGGGTGCACCCATGCCCTGCGATGTCTGCACAGAGAGCACGGCCTGACATGACAGCCCGGCCCATACCCTCTGTCTCTGGCGCTCACACCAGAAATGGAGGCCAGGACCTCTCTGAAGCTCTGCCAGATAACAGGCTCTTGTTCTAAGTTGAATGGAAGTTATGGAATAGGAAATGGCTTAGCTTCTCAAGCTTCAGAAGAGAGCCTAATTTTCCTAAAATACATTTCTGAATTTTAAAAGAAAAGGTCTGCCAGGTCATTCCTGATGGGTCATTTTAGGAAGCTCCCACTTATGGCTGTGTTTAAAAAAAAAAAAAAAAAAAAAAAGATTAAGTTCCTGAATCACTAAATAAGTGGTTTGTTTCCAACTGCCAGGAAAGGGACACTAACCCAGATCAGGGAGCAGATGGTTTTGCTGCACACCGATCTCATGTGACTCCTGACACTCTACTCTTCTCAATCCCCTGGGCCACCCAGAAAAGAAAGCAGCACATCCTGCTGACTGTGCCTGCCCAAAATACTACCTACCACCATATTCGACAACCTCAACTCTTACTAGAATGCTTATAAGCCAGGTCTCTAAAAAAATAAATAAAAAATAAAATACTAGACCCTTAAAAATGGAAGGCAGCCCACTGTGGTGCAGAAAATACCTAGGTCAGTTAGCAAGCTTTGGCAAATGAGTTGGGACTGTTTGAGCTGCAGTTTCCTCCTCCGTAAAAATGGGGAAAAGAAGATCTACTTCCTCAGAACTCTCCTAAGGGTCAAACGAGATCACGCACGTAAAGTGCTCATCACAGCGCCTACAAATGGTAGCAGTGATGCTCTTCCTCATTCGCGGAGAGCACAGACCAAAAGGAGCAGGCTGTGACCAACAAAATCTTCTCACCGCGACGTCAGGAATGGCTGGCTCGGTCTGGGCTGGTAGTTAATGCTGCTAGCCCTGAGCCCTCCCTAACCATTCCTGGGAAGGGGCTGAGCCTTCCAGTGCATTTCGGCTATGAGCTCCAGCCACAGGGATCCAGGGCATACACAGGTGCACCTCTTTAATTATGCAGATACCTGCCATTTCGCTTAGACATCATGTGGTGTGGCTACTGTAGAGGAATATTTCGTGTTTTTGAGAACTTGTAAAATCCCCTTACCCTGTGCAAATTTTAAAAATACTGGGAAAGTAGCCATGATACACAGAGTATACAGCGGCATTTAAATTGGCAATAGAGTGAAAACAGATGTCTGAGTATGGAGGAATAACATTATTTTTAGAAGCCTAAACACAACTGGGTGGGTGGGCAAGTTTCAGCATTTTCTGGTCAGGACAATATTAATATCAAGTTTGAAAACCACAAAAAAGCTTCCCACTTTCCCTGAATAAAATGTGGTTTATTAAAAGGTGCGATACAACACACCATCATTTTACCAGTAGTCTATTCCAAGGAGAGTGCTTCAAAGGCTTTAATCCAGTGAATACAAAGAGGGAAAAGGCACATTACATGGAAGAGTTTATACTACTCCGATGGCAACAGAGAAAAATCCAAGTTCAGGACACAGAATTCTGGTTGAGTAAGTCTATTGTAACAACTCCCACCTCTCTGCTGAGAGACACTTGGGGACATCGCAGACCAAAATGAGCATGAGCTTCGGACTAAGACTGTTTCGATCATTTCAGGGTTAAATTAAATCACTGCAGCAAAGTACCTAATAGTAAGCTTACCATTAACAGGGAGCAGAACAACTGAGACTCTAGATAGTAGAGGAAATACGGCTGCTTCTTTGAGGAATGTGCCTCAGGTTTTCCAGGAATTCCTTTTCAACCCAGAGGTACTCTAACGCCCCTCTCTCTGTGTGGCAAGAACACCCATGAGAAATGAACCTTTGCAGAAAGTTAAGAATTCTTATTTATTCTCCCCAGACTTCATTTCTCATATCTTCATTTCCTCAATAATGGAAGTTGGCCACACCAAGCTAGGTTTTCTTTTCTTTTTTTTTTTTCCTTAAAAATTAGCCAATTTATGATGGGTCAATGTAGAAGGGCAAGGTCATCTGCACATCAGAGTCAAATCTACGAAGAGACAGATGACACAACGCTGTCAAAGCAGAGCAAGAAAAGGAAGAGAAGAAGGTGTTATGTGCTGGCAACTTGGCAAAGTCCACAGGAACCACACGGAGACTCTGCAGCTATAGGGGCAACTGGGCAGGGGGCACAAACACCCACTTGATGTTTAGGCTGTAACTTATCTTTTGGCAATGTGCTTATTACAATTATAACCCTTTAAAATAGTACCTTTACCATAACTAGACTAAAACGAGGCCCATTAGTCTTATCTTAACTCATACCCTTTTTTCAACTAACAGTCAAGGATGCTGAGTACTCACACAACTGGGGAGAGATGAGATCACCTTGAAAAGTCCATAAGCATGTTCCATCATACCTCTTTCTCCTTCACTCCCTAAATTTTGCACTTTGAAACCAACAAACAACACACTAAGCCTAAAGCTAAACAGACCTCCATTCAATTCCCATCTCTTCTCTTTCTCACTTTCCCTGTATTATAGAAGGGGATAATATGTACCTTGTTGTAAGAATTAAATGCAATAATCTCTGTAAGTCAGACAACATAGTTTATGGTTTACTGCAAGGGCTCAAAAGAGGGTACCCATAATTATGACATGCTGCTATGAGGGTTTCATACCAGCCATATGGTCAAGAACCAATTCCTTGAGTCTCCATTTGCTTGATCCATAGATCACTGACACAACTCTCTACATGTGTGTTCACTCTGGACAGAATGAAACATACTCCCAAAACAGAGGTAAAGGACTCTATTTTGATGAGGTACCAGTGATCTAGAGTATAAAAAAGTTGTATTAAGTGCAGAAGAATAGTAGGTTGATCACAGACTCTATTAGTAACTGTGGGATCTGGGGCGAGCTATTTAACCTTGTTGAGTCTCCATTTCCTTAGCTCTGAATAAGGACATGGCCTGTCTTTCAGGTATTGTTCAGAGTGTTAAATGGAAAAGCGTATTATAAAATGCTTAACAAAGTATCTAGCACAAGTAAACAGTCTTATATGTGTGATACATTTTTTTTTTATTATTGCTACTATTAGTGAATATACCAAAGTATAAAACATCATCCCTTACTTACACTAAGAGATCTAGCCCACAAAAATCTGGAGGAGACGCTTGTGGCCAACCAGTGGGTTTTCCCAGACCACACTTTTAGAACCACTGGGTAGACCACCATGATGTAGAGGTTTTGTATCAAATAGGGTTTTCCCCCATAGCTATAGTTCCCTCACATCTGCCTCCTCCACTAACTTTAAAGTATTATTTTCTCCTGAGGAAATGGTCATGGTAGGTGGTGTCACATACTATCATGGCACAGAATACTAAGTTCATACTACTGATTATAACAGTACTCATGAGGATTAAATCATCTATGTCACCAAAATCCTCAACCTGATGAAAGTTCTCCCAGAGTTCCTGTTTATTAATATTGACTTTAAACATCATCCTTCTCATAACAAAGGATTTGCTGAAATTACTGAAGGAAATCTGGAGTTGAAAAAAGAAGCAAAAAGTAATACAGTTTCTAATATGTAAGCACAAGCAGTATCTTCGTACAACTATCTTAGGGTAAGAGACAGCTCTTCTCCCCGTGAAACACACACACACACACACACACACACACACACACACACACACACACACACTTATTTAACATTCAAGTTAACAGTGTCTCGGCTCCTAACAGTGTAGGAGAAATTTACTCTAAGTTTTGAACTATCAGTGGATCAATTAATTCCTAAACTTTATGATTTGTCAGGCAGAGGTTTTAAATTGTTTAGCCCTCCCTAAAAGATTGCTTTACTGCTCACTTTAGGGAGTAGATATTCAAAATGGGGTCTGTGTTTTAAATATGATATTCTAGTCACACTGAAATTTACCATTAACCTAATTATTCCATCTGTTCACATTTGCCTTAAAAGGGAAGGGGGGGGCTCCCAAAAAAGCACATGTTTCTCCATTAATGAATTTTGGCACAATAACTTTATGTCTATCACCTGGGGGAGAGGATTACTTCACATTTGGGAAACTGAGTATAACTTTATGGGTGATACAGCACTGCCTAGCAGAGGCTAAACTTTTCGCCAAGGAGGAAATAGTGAAGTAACCAAGACCTGCCAAGAACACATGTGAAAGAGTTAGTGAGAAATGCCTGTGCATGTCTTTCCTGGTTCAAGGAAAAGGGCTAAATAATAAAACTGAACTAATTAGAACACATGAATAATATCAAACATCTCCAATGTTTCTCATCAAGTTTACGGAGTTTTACTGGTCTGGTGAAGTTACACTCAAATCCAAAATGGTCCAGGAGCATAATTTGCTCTATAAAACCCATTTAACTATTGCTTAGAATCATATTTGAGTCATTTTTATGAAAAAAAATATGGGAAATCTACAGAGGAAACTGAGACTATACCTTCCCCAATTCTCTAGAGATGGCTCAAAAATGTAAAACTGCTAACCTGAAAAACTGTGCCTTGGATTTTGGAAAATTTATCAAATTAGAATAAAAGGCTGACTTTGGATTAAGGTTTTAATTAACTGGCAACTTTGTAGAAGCACTTCATGTTTTAGAAAAGTGTCAGTTTTTACAAAAAGGCATTATCTACCCTGAAGAATGGCTGCAAATTACACTGATTGTGACACATTTGCTTCAAGAGTTCAACTTTAAAAAAATCCTACTAGCTCCATGTTTTTAGATCAACAAAACAGTCTAAGGGAACATAAAAAGTTGAGAACAAGACACAAAGAGCCCATAAAACAGATAAATCATAAAGTTACCTCTATATCCTGGATAATCTTTGGGTATAATGACCTATAAAATGAATTGGGAGGGCCATCTGTAGGTCTGTTCTTAAACAGGTACTGATCCCTGGCAAATAAAAACAAACAGATGTTATGGTTTTGCACATAAAAGGGTGAATTTTATTTAAACATGGTGCTGACAAAGATCTTGTATCTTTCAAGTCTTTTGACTTGCACTGAACTTAACAGTTCAATAGTAGGATTTCTGACTGTTAAATTTACATATTAGACACAAATGTACTTTAATTTCCAGATCTCTAACATAATCCTGGCCTTTTATTTTCTGAATACCCAACACATATTAATCCAGCCTTTCATTCTATAATTTAGTAGAAAATGCTAATGTAGCTTTGTGAAAAACCTTACTGGGTACGCATCAAACTTCCTCCCATAAAGAAAATACAGCCCTATTCCTCACTCACACCATAACCTGCACAAGCCGTAACTCGCTTTCTGTGCTAAGCGGGCCAGGTTAGGGACACGTAGAAAGCTATAAAGCTGTGTGTAGGTTAATGGGATGACTAAAAAATCCTGCCCGCCTTGCCTCCCATATCTTCACTCGAAGCAATGACAAAAAACAAAATGTTATTGTTTGACTTTCTCATATTTTTTTTTCTTATCTATCTTCTGGTAATGGTATCATCACCTAAGAAAAATGTGAAAGGAAAACCAAAACGTACACTCATAGATTTGAAAAGCCAAATCACTCCTTCAAACTATATAATACCTCCTAGCAGTTAATACTTGTAAAGGAAATAAGCATTGCAGAAGGAATTACTCTTAACAGCTTTAACTCTGCCCCCTCGCCCCCCGCCACTCGTGACCACTCCTCTTTCCCACTTTAAAATAGGCCAACACATTTGGCACGTCTGACTCCTTTTTTGAATAACCAAACTAACCCTACGTCCAAGAAACTTTTTTCAGGGGAACAAGCAACCCAAGAACTTACCACCCTCTTCTTTCTGAAAGTCCCTTCCATAGAGGGTCAGTGCGCACCATTCTTTCAATCAGCTTCTTCCAAAGCATTCCTTCTGAGATCACTCGCTGCCATTCTTTACATACCAGCTCTGCTGCACACAGAGACCTGGCATCCAGGTAAGAAAGAATGTTTTCTGCTATGTGATCTAAGCCTTGCTCTACAAAATAGAAAAGGCAGTGAAGGTATGGGAAGGGAGATGGAAATGTACCAGTCACCATTTCTATAAAGCTAAGAGGAATAAAGAAGTCCTGAACCACATAACATACTTGAGTAATATCAAAAGTTCTGCAGATATACAAGTGCATGAGTACATAAACACATACACTTCTTTTTGGTTCTGAGTTTTTAAGAAAAAACAATTGATGGTGGGGCACCTGGCTGGTTCAATCGGTAGAACGTGCAACTCTTGATTTGCGGGTTGTGAATTCAAGCTCAGAATGCGTGCAGGGCTTTAAAATTTTTTTTATTATTTTTTTTATGTTTACTTATTTTTGAGAGAGAGAGACAGAGAGAGAGAGAGGGGCAGAGAGGGAGACAGAATCCAAAGCAGGTTTCAGGCTCTGAGCTGTCAGCACAGAGCCTGATGTAGGGCTCACACCCACAAACCATGATTGTGACCTGAGCTGAAGTCAGATGCCCAACTGACTGAGCCACCCAGATGCTCCAAAAATTAAAAAAAAATTTTTTTTTGATGGCAACAGATTCTGTGTATAAAAGCAGATCCTGGACAGGTGTATTTGTCAGATATATTATGAAAAAAAGACTTATTTGCATTTTCTTTTATATAGCTCTTAGAAGACTACTACAGTTTGATTCCTCAACATTTTAAGGAGGAGGCAGAGACAGGTAAAGTCCTCAAGGTTTCACAACTACAGAATAGTAAAGCCAAGATTGGAACTCCGATCCCTTGCTCCTAAGTTTGTGTTCTTTCCCCTCTGACTTACCATCTCTCATAACAAATCATCCACTTTCATATATGACCTCTGTGAACTCCTTGGAGCCAAGGAGACAAAGAAGGAGAAACACTGACCCATCTTTAAAAGCCTATGAAAAGTTAAATGACAATCCAAGAGTTAAAGTCAGGTCTCCTTAAATGTATTTTTGCCAATCATTTCTTCATCTCCTTCTTATGGAGGTAGACTCTTAAAGCAAGAACCCCCGTCTATAAATTCTTGAATTTTACGAGGTTTATCCCACACAATGCAAGGGTCCTCCGAAGACCACCAAGATTCAGAGTCTGCCTGACACCGCCATCTAGTAAGGATATCACTACTGTCATCATTGCCATCTGTAAGCTCCCATCCTGTGGTTCTAGGCAAGTCTTCTGTAGCTACAAAACATAAGGCTCACACACAACCCCCCTAGACCTACTGTAGTGGTGGGAAACTAAACAAAGAGGCAGAAAATTTCAATTTCAAGTCCAGGCTCACCATGTAGCAGTTCTCTGACATGAAGCAAATATTGAAACATAATCCTGAAACATCACTGCTCCTTGGTCTTTTACCATTATAAAATGGTAATTACCAGCAACCACTATCCTTTCTCATCCTTTCTCATTCTTACTACCAGTAAGAATCAAATGGAAGAACTTTATAAAAAGATTTTAAAGACAACAAAACACCATACAAGGTTAATATTTGCTTTCTTTTTCAAGATAAACAGAAGCCATATAGTAGCATTAACTTTACAGGATGTAAGTCTTTAAACTTTAGAGCTCAGTTTTCCTCATCTGTGTAAGATGGGGATAATAATCTGTATTCTGAAAATATCAAAATGAGATGATGCATTAAAAAGCTTTACAAACTAAGGTTTTCTTCCGCTCTAAGAATGACACCTTAAATTCTTTCTTGATTGTGGTTTACAGGCTTTTCATATTCTAATTCTCCTACTCTGGACTAGATCTAATACCCAAGCTCTGATCTGATCATAAAGACTACATACACGGAGACCACTATGTTTTCTGATGCATGGCATTACATCACAGTTAATGGAGTCAAAGATTCTGCTGCCTTTATCTAGTAGTCCTATCATAGTAGATGGTACCATCCTAAGATGGTACTAAGTTAAAATAAATTCCTAGGTCTGTTCTCCAAAAAGATCTATTAAAGCAATTCCCTCAGGGTACCTGGGTGGCTCAGTCAGTTACGTGTCTGGAACTCCTGATTTCGGCTCAGGTCATGCATTATCTCTTGGTTCGTAGGATCAGGCCCTTCATTGGGCTTGGTGCTGATAGCGTGGAGCCTGCCTGGTATTCTCCCTCATTCTCCCTTTGCCACACCTCTGCTTGCAAGCATGCTCTCTCTCCCTTAAAATAAATAAATAAACTTACAAAAGAAAATCCCCCTAATTCTACATTTGTATAGCTAATGGAGAGGTGAAGAGCAGCCTCGTGCAGAAGTTTACAGTTATCCTCACTATAATTCACCTTTGAAGCTTAATCTGACCCTTCCATGTCAGCATCTAGAATTCTGACTCTGTCATGCAGAAGAGTGGGTATTCCACACCAAATCTGCATAAGGGGAAATGGAGTAAGTCTGTATCCCAAGTTCTTGGCAAACATGGTAAATGGGTCAGAACCAAGGACAGCACCCATGATTCTAGATCTATATTTCCAACAAGGCTACTGTGGACCCATTCATTAAACACTCACACAGCCACTGGCTCTGTAGCCATCCGGATGCACTACTGTCCAGCCCTCATGGCTCTATTCAGTGCTCGGATATTTGGAGAAACTCCGCTCCCCATAAAGACCCTATCACCTTTACCTTTCCATCATTCTTCTGACCTACGAATCTGATAACCTTACCCCCCCCCTCCCCAAATCAGGTGAATTTGGTGTGGTTACTCTTTGTATTCCCTTGCTGGTGCTTACTACATAAAGAGGGTACTGTATTTTTTGTTTACAAGTTGGCAGGGAGCTGTTTTGTGTCCCTTTTTTTTTTTTTTAAACATATATAACCCAAGTTCATTACAGGAAAATTATAAAATGCTTAGAAGCAAAAAATTTCTAATCCCTGAATCCTCTCAGAAATAATGGTTCCTAGCATTCTGTATACATCCTTATAGGTTTACACAACCCTACACAGTCTTTTCAGCTGCAAATTAATTAACTTTGATAATCCATTTTAAAAGTCTGCTACAGTAGAACACTGAATTTACTAGCCAATAAATATCCCCCCAAATACACCCAACCCCAGGTCTCTAGCTCCTCACACCAGGAAGTCTCCTCAGTCATCTCAGAGTACTTTCCATGCAGAGCTACCAAACACAGTTCTGCAAGCTGCCAAGGGCACAATCGTACCCGGTAGATCTGCCTATGGTTTTCTAATGTTTATCTGAGATAGAGACAGAGACTTAAGCAGGCTCCATACTGTCAGAGCAGAACCCAACACAGGGCTGGAATCCATAAACTCTGAGACCTGACAAGAGCCAAAATAGAGTCAGACACTTAAAACTGACTGAGCTACCCAGGTGCCCCTCTGCCTATGGTTTTTAATTGCTTCTCAACATCCCACAATTCTGAAAATCACAACTTCATGTTCTGTCACCATCCTGGCACACAGTGTCTTTAGGTCTACTTGTCTATAGGAGCTATATGTTTCCTTTTTGTGTGTCTCCATGATCATGTGCTCCTTTCTTCCATTTGCTTGTAAAATTAGGGAAATCCATGGATAATCATAGGGTACTTGTACCTATCCACTGCTGGGACTGACAAACTTACTAACAAGAACTTCAGATTTCAGGATCTCTCTGCCCTCTATAATTGTATTTTCTTTTAGTGCCTCTAATCACAGGCTAATAGATATAGCTCTTCTCTGAATTTTTCTAATTCTGGGTACCTATCTATCATCTAGTTTCTACACATCCTTTGAGAACAAAGTCACCTTTCAAGGTCTACCTTACTTCCTTATCATCAACCAAATCCTAATTGGTTATAAACATATCCCTAACCAATTCCCCTTGTGAGTCCCTCGCTGAGTGATGAAACACATAGTGAGATAAGAATGCATCAGATGGCTGCTTTCTCACTGCAACTCAGTGCAGCCTCCTCAATGACTGCAACACCCCCATCATCTATATCTGAGCTGGGAAAGTGGTATCCAAATCCTCTACCTGGTTGGGTGGTCTAGGAGCTGGTTCTCAGAAGCCTGTGTAGGTGTAGTTGAATCACTTAGGGCAAGTGATTTTTAAGATAAACAGAGGCACTTTGGGTGGCTCAGTCAGTAGGGCATCTGACTCTTGGTTTCAGCTCAGGTCCTCAAGTCATGATCTCATGGTTCGTGGGATCGATCCCCAAGTAGGAATCTGTGCTGACAGCATGGAGCCTACTTAGGATTCTCTCTTTCCCCTTCTTGCGGCTCCTCCCCCATTCATGAGCGCATGCTCTCAAAAAAAAAAAGAAAGAAAGAAAAGAAAAGAAAAAAGGAAAGAAAGAAAGAAAGAAAGAAAGAAAGAAAGAAAGAAAGAAAGAAAACCTATAACAAAAATTAAACAAAAACAACACCAACAAAAACAGATTCCCTGGACATTTTTCTGGTCTACTGAATCAGCATCTTTACATGGTGAGGACCAGGAATCTATTTTTAGGAAGTGCCACCAGATAATTCTGATACTGGGAACTATTGCCTTATAGTAATTATACCCTTTTTAATCTAGCTCACCATTAGACTATCACTGAGTTTCTGTATAAGGAAATCTCTAACACATATTTCCTCCTCTTTCAAATGCTATCACTCCAATCCAGCAATATCTCCATGATACCTAGGAGACTGACTTCTCTTGCATAATATTTTAAATTCACACCATCATTCCAGGAGGCAATATGTTTTAGTCTCCTAGAAAATGCACTGGCTGTAGAGTCAAATAACCTGGGTTGAAGCAAATCAGTTTTTCTTTTTGGATCTCAGTCTCCCATAAAATAGGAATGATATTAAACACCTGACGTGGATGATCTGTTATAATGTGCACAATAATCGTCCGACAACAGTTATTCTCAATATCCTCATTTTATAGAGAAGGAACTTCCTAGCCTTGCTGGAAGGCTCACAGGAGGATATTAAGGAGCCAGATACAGAGCAGGTACTTGCTAAGGGTCAATCTCTGCTTCCCTTCCCTCATCTCCAAACCCCTTAACCGATACCACTGATCAAAGAAACT